ACGGAATATTTAGAGGTCAAAATACCATATATGGTCAAAAGTCTAATAAGATTTCCTTTGTCAGGTGAACAGAGAATCTGTGATGTTGTGTGAGTGACTCTGACGCACATGAGTGGCTGTGACTGTGTCCTAAAGTCCTCTATAACTGTGATATAACAAGAGCACTGAGGCTCTTCAGTCATGCACACACAACAGCTGAAAAACACGCTAAGAGTACAAATGATGCGAAAGTCAGCAAACAGCCTCACTGAAACAAAGTCATTTATCAGTCTACCAAATAATATAATATAAAATTATATAGTAATTTGTGTGTTATATTATATTATAAGACAGACCAGAGAAAAGCAAATGAGATAAAACAGATTTAATATTATTTATTGATTTATTCCATTTAAGAAAGTACAAAATATTGTAACCAGACATGCGTTAAGCAGAGGGTTTCTGATACGATGAACTGAAGTAGGCCACAAGCAGCGGGAATGAGAACAAAGAAGATGGAGGATGCTTACCCTCCTCCCCCCTCCCTGACCACATCTCACAACAACCTAGACCGTCTGGTTACCAAGGAAACAGCACCTGCAAAGGAAGGCACCATGCCTGAGAATCCCTTCTGCGATCCAGCAGGCCATGTGTTTGTTAAGAGACTATGTTAACCCGACTGTAGCTCGGCTAGCGCTGTATTGTGGACGGTTTGTATAAAATGGTGGCTACAAATTCAAGCAATTCACTCATTAGCCAAGAGGGGGAATGTCCGACATTTCACTGAGAATATGGTTTTGGATTGTTCCAAAACTAATAACCCTTTTTCAACCAGTCAATTGAATTGCGTGGACTATAATTAAAAAATTGAATGAAGGCATTTCTTTTAAAGCTGATCCTGAGTGAGTGCTGTACAGTAGTCTCAATGCCAAAGAGCCATCAATCAACATTATAAGGTCTCTGAATTATTCAGTGTAATATTAATGACTCATCACAATGTATTCTAGTGGTCAGCATAATTTTGCAGGACAGTAGAGTGGTGCTGCAAGAAATATGCAACCATACATTTTTCCGACCTTTCTTAAATGTAAAAAAACGACAACAACACTGCAGTAACCTTCATCATATGCTCCATATCATCAGTTCCAATCTCCCTAAAGACTGGAAAATTAAACTGAAGCTCTGAAAAGTGCAAGTACAGATCAATACTGTGTTTTGTTCTCACATGTCTTTCAACAGAAATACATCATATCTCATGGGACATATCAATCTATGCTGACCACAACATTACTAAACCATCATGAAAATCAGCGAAGACATTATACATATCACGTATGCCAACACAATCTCATGATAATTCATAACTGTTTCACGTTTTCATATGATCTGCCTACTCTCCAGTGACAGCCAGGTTTAGGGGTGGATCTTCATGTTTACTTTTTTTCTAAAAATCATATACGTTTTTGTATGAATCACATCATATGAATTCATTCAAAATAGCTACATATAAGAAAACATATTACACATCAACAGCCCACAAACCATCTATTTAAACATAAATAAAACATATTAAAAAAATAAATGAAATATATATATAAAATAGTTATATATATATATATATATATATATATAGCAAGGTCTTATAGTTTGTTCATAAAGCACAACTATCTTGTGTCTGAATAGGCAGCAAGATTTTACTAGGAATAACATCACACACTGGCTGTCACTTTCTATAATACTCACATAACATTATGTAAGCAGCTCATTTTTTTATTTTTTGGGAGCCTACCACATCACATCCGTGTCCAGGGGTGTCACAGTCTCTAAGCTGTGCAGGGGTGGTCCAGACATGGGTGTGTGTGGACAGTGACTCCCTTGTCCCTGAAACATCTAGATTTAATGCTGGTTGAAGTCACCCTTTGTGCTTATTAAGCACAGGTAGAAGATCTGGCCTCAGCTCAGCCCAAGCGGCAACCTCCCGCTCTCTCTCGTGAAGCCAACAAGGAAGTGACTTAAACTGTAATTCATCAACTGGCCGCT